TGTCAGGGCCGTCGCCAGCCGGCCCGGGATGGAGAAATGGGCTAGACCCACCCCTCCCGCTCTGCCCCGCTGGAGTGAATCAGCCGTAGCAAACCGGCTTCAGTGGACCACATTCCCGAGGGGTGTAAACGGGTGCCACGTCAGAACGCTCATTCTGTATTTTACACCCATGGACCGGAGACCTGAATACAGCCAGGATTGCTGGTGGGGGAGCCCCTCTCCCCCCGGTTTATACCCACCTGCCGGGGATCAGCATCCAGCCCCCGCATCTGTGCTCTGAGCTCAGCATCTGTGACGTTTTCATGTGTCAGGGACTCATTGGAAATCACAGCCGGCCAGGCAACAAGAGCGATCGAGGGTCTGAAAATCCCCTCCCCCCCCCCAGAAGAGCAATTGAGCAGGTAAGGATTGTTATTGGAGACAGGAAGGGACAGGATAAAAGTCTAACGAATGGGATGGAGACGGGAGATCGGGACTCATTCTCCCTGTCCCAAGAACCAGAGGACGGCCAGGATACATCTAGACAAGGGGCTATTTCAGGATCCCGGAATAACTACCCTGCATCTTTGAAAGACACCCATTCTTTCCAAGTATTTGTCAACATACCCAGCGTGCTATTTCCACATCCCAGTAGCCCTCATTCCACGAGGGTTAAGGGCTGTCTCAAAATAGCCCGTGGTTTCGAAATACAAGCACAATTAGAGACGCAGTTTGCACCACGCAAATTGCGTCTCTTATTTCAAGCTTTGGGTGCCGTGTAGACGCACCCGTAGTGAAACTTGACGAGTACCTTCAAACTGGAGCAAAGGGAATAGCCGAGCCGATACAATATAACTCCAGTTTCAAGTTATCGTGCGGGAGGCCTAGGTTGGAGATTAGGAAAAACTGTTTCACTAGGAGGGTGGGGAAGCGCTGGGATGGGTTCCCTAGGGAGGGGATGGAATCTCTATCCCTTTTAAGTCTCGGCTTGCAAAGCCCTGGCTGGGTTGATCTAGTTGGGATTGGTCCTGCCTTGGGCAGGGGGCTGGACTTGATGACCTCCCGAGGTCTCTTCCAGCTCTATGTTCTATGATACCGTGAGACTGCGGAACTCACTGCCACAGGAAACCACAGCGGCCAAGAACTTAGTAGCTAGTAGGCTGGATGAGTCCATATTCACATCACCTCTTTAATTTAGCTTCCTAAATTCATCCAGTGGCTCTATTCTCCCCTTTTCCCCACACTTCTGTTTTGAGAACCGTCTTTGTGCCTGATTCTTTTTCGCCCTCTCATTTGTGGCCCCCCCTACGAAACTTCACATGGAGGTGCGGACCCTGTTGGAAATCTTAGGCATTGTCTGTGAACCCCAGTGCGAGACACCAGTTGGAAACCTCTGTGCTGGGACATGAGACATATTATTCGGCACAGATGTGATCCTGGGTCCGGCTATGCTGCCCGCCATTGATCAATTGGAGGTGGGGGCACCCCACCCCCCCAGCATGGCGCCCCCTGGTGCCACACCAGGGAAATGCCACCAGCCCTCATACTCGCTGGGACCCGGCGAAATACCTATCTCCCCAGGTGGCCTGCCAGCCGCGGTTCCCCACCTTTTTTGATACCTTTCTGAACCCATTCACATTGGTGACGTTTCATTTGCATAATTGCATAGTCATGACTTGCATGATGACTATGCAAATAACATGTTGCCAGTCTGCCTAAATAGAATCCTGCTCTTTCCTCTCTGCTCCCACTCCTGGATCCTGAGCAGACGCGACCCCTCTGCTGAGCCGGCGGCCTGGCCCTCACGCCACTCTTACTTGCACTGTGCCCGGAGCCCTCCCCTGGAGGAAATGGGGTGGGAGAGCTGGTGTGAAATGAGCAGAAAGTTCCTCGCGGCCGCAGGCATGCACAAGTGGCCAATAGAATCCTGCTCTTTCCTCTCTGCTCCCACTCCTGGATCCTGAGCAGACGCGACCCCTCTGCTGAGCCGGCGGCCTGGCCCTCACGCCACTCTTACTTGCACTGTGCCCGGAGCCCTCCCCTGGAGGAAATGGGGTGGGAGAGCTGGTGTGAAATGAGCAGAAAGTTCCTCGCGGCCGCAGGCATGCACAAGTGGCCACGGTCCTGGCAGAACCAGTGGTTTTTCCCACTGTTGGAAATTCCCCCGGCCGGTTCTGGCGGATGCAGGATTCCTCTCTGCCTTGGCATTGCTGTGTGCTGGGAAGCAGCTGCCATGGCCCACCCTAGAGGTGGCTGCATTTCAGAGCTGGTGGCAGTGAGTTTTCCAGCTCTTGCTAGGAGCGATGGGGGTCATTGGGGGTGAAAAGAGAAGGGGAAGAAGATGCCAAAGTGCTGGGATTCAGCCCACTGGGTTTGATTCTCTGCCACAGCCTGCCCTGGGGTGCCCTGGGCAAAGCACTTAATCTGCACGTTCAGCCTGGCCTGGGGGGGGGGGGGCACATGGGTTTCGCCCAGACTTCGTGGGAGATTTCTACAAGAGGGGGCTGCATTTCCGTTTGACAATGTTTAGGGGAATGCACAAATGAAAAAAAAGATTGAAACTCACTGGAGTAGATGGAACCTGGTGCAGATCCATTGGGGCCATGCCGTGCCTCGGTTTCCCTAAGCCTGGGGTAGTTGAAGCAAAATGCAGGACAATGTAGCACTTTAAAGACTAACAAGATGGTTTATTAGATGATGAGCTTTCGTGGGCCAGACCCACTTCCTCAGATCAAATAGTGGAAGAAAGTAGTCACAACCGTATATACCAAAGGATACAATTAAAAAAAAGTGAACACATATGAAAAGGACAAATCAAATTTCAGAACAGAAGAGAGATGGGCGGGGGGGAGGTAGATGCTGGGGAAACTGTCTTGGTAATGGGTGAGATAGTTCAAATTCTTGTTAAGTCCTTGTTGGCAAGTGTCGAATTTTAACATGAATGACAGTTCAGAGGATTCCCTTTCAAGTGCAGATGTAAAAGGTCTTTGTAGCAGAATGCAGGTGGTCAAGTCATTGAGAGAGTGTCCTTTCTGGTTAAAATGGCAAGAAACTGTTTTTTCTTTGTGATCTTGTCTGATATCTGTTTTGTGGGCATTAATCCTTTGGCGAAGTGTCTGAGATGTTTGTCCAATGTACATAGCAGACGGACACTTTCGGCACATGATAGCGTAGATTATATTTCTGGATGCGCAGGAATATGTGTTCTTGATCTTATAACTCACTTGGTTAGGTCCAATAATGGTATCAGCAGAATGAATATGTGGACAAAGCTGGCAACGGGGTTTGTTGCAAGGGAAGGTACCAGGGTTGGTATTAGTGTGGTATGTCCTGTGGTTGTTGGTAAGAATCATCTTGAGGTTAAGTGGTTGTCTTAGGAGACTATGGGTCTGTCTCCCAGAGCTTCTTGGAGTATGGTATCCTGTTCCAGTATAGGCTGTAGGTTGTTGATAATGTGTTGGACAGGTTTAAGTTGGGAGCTGTATGATGAGGCTGTGAATCCACCCTTTGGGGACAGGCGTCTGGGGCAGGGACTCGATGTGTCTGCGCAGCGCCTGGTACAGCAGGGGCCTGGAAGACGCGCAGACGATGTGGCTAAACACCCCAGCTGTTCGTGAAACCGACTGTATTCTCTCCCTCGGAGTCCCTGAGCTGGCCACTAGGTGACACTTCCGCTCCGCCAAAACTCAGCTGAGTTTGCATCTGACTCGGAGCTCAAGGCCTGGAGACGGGCGCCAGGTTTCATGTGCCCGGGAAACCCCAGCCTGCAGTGAGGTTGGCAATCCCGGGGAGGAGCCGGGGGGAGCCGCCCCAGGGGCGATGTTGGGGGCATGCAGGGCTGGGCCACGCGGACACCTCAGCCCAGTGCTGCCTCTTCGTCGGTTTCTGGCCACAGACCCGACGCTCGCCCCGGCCCTGCCGTTTTGCAGAGGATCGGTGCCCAGGGGGGTTAGGAACCTCTCTGGGCGACCGCATGGCTGAGGCCCAAGGGGATAGAGGGCAGCTGGGGAACTGTGTGCTCCAGCCCCAGACACGACCCATAGCCTGACTCGGGGCCCATTCCTGTCCCAGGGAGCCTGGTGGATTCAGTGGGGCAGGCCGTGGGGTGAGCCCATGAGAATTCAGCCTTGGGGTTGTTCCTCGCACGGGCAGCCGGCCAGACCCCCCTGGCACACACCAGATGTTTCTCCTCCCTGCCACAGGGGAGGGGAGACAGTGAGCAAAGGGAGTGAAATTTACAAGGCCCAGCTAGTCTTGGGGTCGGGGAGGTTAGCGGGGGGCAGGATTCTGGGCCGCGGGAGAGGCCGGGGGTCTCTCCCCCGGCTCCCCCTCCCACCGGCGGAGACATGGGGGAGAGGCGGGGGGGCGGAGGGGGGCGAGGG